ATGTGCAAGACATGTTCACTTTTGTCTTTCCAAAAGGAAAATATCAAAACTAAAACATTAGGTAAGATAATTAAGTGATTATGCAGAGTTTTTCTTTGTCCCTTATCATCTCAACATAATTATAAACTTAATCACGAATTAAATTATTGATTACAATTTGCAAACGATACGTACAAATACCATTACAATTACATAATTAACAATTGTAATTAATCAAATTTTGTAGGAGTAATGTATACGCAGTGTAAATAAAAAATCAATTGAGGATATGCATGTTTTATTTAACTGAAAAAATGAATTTAATTATGTAATGATTCAATAAAAAAAAGCATTTACATAATATGATCTAAATAAGAAAATATTAAAATTAATATTTGATGTACCTTATTGGACCGGCCTAAGAAGCCAATTAGTATGTGGATCATTGAACAAGCCCGATCCATCTACAAGGTGATTAACTAATGACCCAATTCCATTAATAACATCTTACTAAGTGTCACAGGGGTTTCTTTGATTAAGAAATTTTCGTCCGTGCGGCCTGATTTGCCCACCAAATCAGTCAGCTTTTCTCTAGATTCTCTTCGAAGAAAACGCACAAACACAAGTCTTTTAAGCCAACATAACACAAGAGTATGCAGCGGAAAACAACACACAAGCACGTTTACGGGCAATGCCCAACCTTTATATTAATTTCTCACAAATAATACAAACGAGACTAAGGTGCGCACACAAAATCCTCACTTAGAATGCCCGCAATTGCAATATGAACTCTCTAATGCTAGATGGATCGGATTTGTGCACTCATAGCCATATAAATACAAGGAAGAATGTATTTTTCACATAAAACTACTTAAGAACACTTGGCAGCATACTTGCTTGACACTTGGCTAACTATTACAAGTAATAAGGGGCAATTTTTCATGCTTTCCAGGCCTCAATCGCTCCGCAACTTCCCTCAAAATCGCCCACAAGGCTGATTTTCGAGGTCCATCTTGATCGGGTGCGCGCGCGCACCAAACGGCCCAAAACAGCCCGGCCGGTTACTAGGCAGCCCATCTGCCTTGCATTTTCCGCACATTTTGCTCGCCTTGCCAATTACTTGACAGTTCTTTGCCCACACGGTCATTAGCACGCCCACACATCGGGCTGCCTTCCTTGACTTGCCAACCGGTCGTGCCAACTTGCCCACATTTGTCAAGTCGTGGTCGATTTCCTTCGAACGTTCGTTTGTCCAAGTTCTCGGTCACATGCCGATCAATGCCCACACTTGTCCGCTACGCTGCCGGGCAACGCTCGTGCTAGCCACAAGTACTTTCGAGCTCCGTTCCCACTTGAATCAAGCCATTCCTTGCTTTCTCGGACAAACACCCCAAATGCTTGCCCAACACTCGACCACTCATTGGCCGATTGTGTGGCTGTCTTATGCCAATTCTTGCTTGGCATCATTTCTCGGCCACACTCGAGTCGTAGCCGATGTTACCGACTAAGGGGATAACACTAGGCCGCTAAGGTTTACTAATTCTACTTAGAGTTCTACTTTAATATGAATTCTACAAATTACACTATAAATATACCATCTACCTCACTTTACAAAATACGTTCTATTATGTTATTCAAATGAAGCAGAAACTTGTGAGCAGAATAAAACTAAAAATTAATTTACAAAATGTGAGTTTTGGGCCTCACATTAATTTCAAAATTGATGACATATATTAATATATTTTTTCTTCCAAATTAAATTTATTTAAATATTGTACATACATTAAAAAAAATCAAAAGAAAAAAGAAAAAAAAAAGCAAAAAAAAAAAAAAAAAAAGAAGGAAAAAACTCTCCATTATTCAAATAAGAAGATAACAAATTTCAAACATTAATAATGTTATGTTTCCCGGCCTTAATCCTATACGTCCTTGACAATCATAAAGAATGGTTAAGTATATATCATTACATTGAATGAAAGAATTTCTTACATTACAAAAAAAAAAAAAAAATAATAATAAAAAAAAATAAGTAAATAAACTTCAATCAAATGAAAACATCTACACAATTCAAAAACGAAATTAAAAAAAATTGAAGTAATGAATGAATGAATTAATTAATTTCCTTGGCCCGGGCTCGGGCCTGATCTCTTGATTCCTCCAAGGGTTAAACTATTTCCGTCTCCTCCATGGCTCGGCCCTCCTGTTTTCACCGCCTGAATGTAGAGCTCCTCCAGTATCTTCTCAATGCCGCTATCAATCAAATTAGTAGTATTGACATATTCGTCCTTTAGAACACGGCCCTCGTTCACCGTGAATAAGCAACTCAAGAAGATTATTGCATAAATGACGAACAACGTTAAAAAATTACTTCTATTTGCTGCCATATTAATCTGCTAGCTATATGGTCTTTTTAAAATCGATATAATGTCGAGATTATAAAATAAGAAGAATTAATGCTTATTTGATTTGTGATGAAATGAGGGGTTTTAATGATGTATATATAGACGATGGTTATGCCCATGCATGCTGAAACAGGAAATTTCATAGGGTGTCAGTTTGAGAAAATTTTAACTAATTAAGTATATATTAATGAATTAATTAATTGAACACGTGGGGTATTAGTGAGAGAGTACTGCCGCCATATCCATACTATTGATCTGTTCAATTTTGAAGGTCGAATTTATATAACTATTAAATTGGTGGTGGAAATAAATAGGAGTAAAATATTATATACTAATACTTTATATTATTCATTGACTAGCTAGTCTAACCATATATAACTCGTTCGAGCTGACTCGGGTTAACCCATTCCCTCTAGGCTTGAATCAGGTTGGAATTGTCAACACAAATTGTATGAGTCCCACAACATCGAAAAGTAGGGAATGACGCATGGAGCTTTTGGGTCAAAGTGGAAACTTTTGGGGAAAATAGGATCATAAAGCAATTAGGTAAGGATTAGGTCAAATTATACCTAATTAGGAAATGTAATTAATTATTGAAGACTAACCTCTTATTTTCTATGCATGAAGTTTCAATGTTACATCACGTTTGCGTCACTATCTCGTATAACCGAGGGCGTAAAATCTATACCCTCAAGACTTCTCTCCAAATTCTACTTCTTTCAACTGTTGGAAAGCATATCGGAGGTCGGACCTTTAGGCTGACGGCGGTACAAAGAATGGACGGAAAATAGTAAATAGCAAGAGATAATTTAAAAGGAGTATAAGATGTTATTGATAACGCGACCCTCATGACGGGTCTTGTTACATTTGTTTATATAGAAAAGTTGAGAAGGAAACATTTCCTATTTCGTAACCTCTTGATTGTGATTGTCTCTGGAGATCAATTTTATACTTTTTTTTAGCTATTTATGGAGAAAATCTGCAATCTTAACCTGCAATGGTCTCTAGTTCAGCTTGCCACCTAGTACCCTTCCCATATCCTCCTCTAAGGTACACCGATGATGGGCAGCGAGCTCCTCCGCTCTATGCAGCGAGGTTGGTATCATTGAACTCTAAAAAAACGAGTTTCCCATATGTGGTGCGGACTCTTTGCTCGCCTTAACTTCCTTGTAACTTACTTGGATTTTCCGGCCCATTATTCCCTAGATCGGAGGGCTCGATCGGATCATGCTGGGCTATCCATCAATCAGTGCGTCCAATTCTTTTCGTGATCCATTGGGCTTTTAATCTAATAGCTAAGAATAAGGGGTTTGGCCCAATAATACTAAACTGATCCCTATCAATCACATTTGTACATCAATATTCCATGATAAGCACCGAGAGTTCATATTGGCCCATGATCACTAAATAAATGACCCAAGACTTTGGGCCACCTATTTCCCGAACTAGTACCAATTAAATACAAGCCCATGATAACTATGAGTTAAATGTATATAAACTCATTTTTAACTTTGATTATTTTTTTTTTTTAGTAAATTCAAGTCCATTACAAGGGGAAGTAGGGGAGGGTTTACAAGGGGAAGTAGGGGTGGGGGGACTCGAACCCTAGACCATTACCCTATTGATAAAGGCTAGGTACCAACTCTTCTAATGAGGTCTTACCAACTCTTCTAATGAGGGTTGGTCATTTTTAACTTTGATTAACTACACTTAAAAAAAAGATTAATTGTATTGTCTGCGTTTTATCATGCTCTGGACACTGCCACCAAATAACAATCAGACTTTCCTTTCATAGAAGAAAAACCTGTAAAACTGCCTTATAATGGCTGACTTAAATTGACCCCCAAAATAATTAAAAAATTAAATAAAAATGAGCAGCTCTGCGGCTACAGAAAGCTCCACCCCCATCTCCGGCGGCTGCGACGCCGTAAATAAATCCGTGAAAGAAGAGGACGCCGATTCAACGCCCTTTCGAGAAGGTGAACAGGTCTTAGCTTATCATGGCCTTTGCCTGTACGACGCCAAGGTGAGTTTATTTAATAATTTCATATTTCGTCTTCTGTTTAGAAAGGGGAGGGTTTCCTGTTTGATGCGTGTTATTTTGAATGCATTAACTCAGCAAAATTGGGTGAAATCAATTTTGGAATTCTGAATTAGCTAACTGAGAGATATATTTATTCCTTCTCTCAATTTTGCGAGAAACAACGTTTAAACTTATGGTGTTATGATCAATTGACATGATTACTTTTGTCCCAAAAAAATAAAATAATGAATCGAAATGCTGCTTACAAAAACGATTAGCTAATAGGAGCATGCTTAGATTCAACACACACTGGACAAAGGGAAGGAGAGTTTAGAGTAATGCATTATCGACAAATAAATCGACAATCGAGAACAGTTAAGAACGAGAATTCAACCTGCTCTTCTGTTTGTATATATCTTGGTTCGAGCTTACGGATTGCTGCGAGAATTTTTTTTGATGATTATTTTTCCTGTTGCGGATTTGGTGTTTAAATTTTATCTATTTTTGTTCGTTTACTCCTTAAGTTACACTTAATGGTTTCGTAGTTCCTTCTTTGATGTAGTTCTTTTGTTTTTTCATGACAAGGTACAAAAGGTTGAATTTCATATCGACGTGTGGAGGTATTATGTTCATTATCGTGTAAGTATAATCTCCTAAGTTCCTAGTTCCTACTGCTAACAGCATTCTCGTTTCCGGTTGTTTTTATTTAACTAAAAAACTGATAGTTTTAGTTGAAATGTAATTGTATAATCTCCTAAGTTCCTAGTTCCTAGTTCCTACTGATAACAGCATTCTCGTTTCTGGTTGTTTTTATTTAACTAAAAAAGTGATAGATTTAATTGAAATGTAATTGTATCTTTTTTATTTTTTATTTCCTTTTTCTTCTGCAGGGGTGGAACAAAAAGTGAGTGTATACGTCTGCTCTATATAAGATGCTTTCGAACATGAATGTGAAGACCAGTCATTTTTATTGTGAAACTGGGAATTGTAGATTTTTTATATTTAGCAATCCTTTTATGAGCTGTTCTTGCAAGTTTCGGGTTAAAAAAGGCTTTACATGGAATTCATTTGGAGCAGTGATTCATGTTTTTCCACACTTATCTTCTGTACTAATCATTTCTGATAGTCTTCTTTCGAAAAAGTTTGACGCAAGCTCGACATTTTGGTGGGAGAAAAAGTAAATTTGGAACTCATGATTTTTCAAGAAAACCAATAATTTTAAGCATTTATTTATTTCGTTTTCTTGGAAGTACACAACTTCTTTTGGCCCTCAACAGATGGGATGAATGGTTGGGAGTCGATTGCCTGTTAAAACATACCGAGGAAAATGTTCGAAAGCAAAAAGAGCTCAAGGAGAAGCATGCCATGGAGAAGAACGTGAACGCTGCACGTCTATCGCAAGATAAAACTAAAAGTCCAATTGGTTAGATTAACTGTTTCCCTTAAGACTTTGATTCAATGCGAAGACATATTCTTTAAGTTGAACTTTATCCTTTTCCCGCTTGCACATTTTGTTTCCGTCAAAATTGAATCTTCTTGCTGTATTCTTCATGGGATCTTTCTTAGCTGAAGTTTAATGTGGACTGCTATCGCAGGGGTGAGAGGCAAGAAACGGAAACAAGAAATCCTTGAAAAGGTAAAACTCTCTTTGTTATTCTTTTCACGTGTTAGTACCAACGCCTCTAGGATTCAACTTTATCCTTCTGCAGTTCGTATCTTCAGATTGAGTCTTCTTTTAGGTTTTTACTTGGTTGGAGAGTTAAGTGAAAAATATGTTCTTTTGTTTGGTAGGAGTGCACTGTTCCTTCGGAAAAGCTTGTAATCATCCAAATTCCATCTACCTTGAAGAAACAACTGATCGATGACCATGAATGTATAACTCATCTGGATCAGGTAAACGATGCTGCAAGTAATATCATCTATTGCTAGAATTTTTAAATAATTTTCTTTTTGTTTGTTGCAGTTAGTCAAACTTCCTCGTTCTCCTAGTGTTCATGAGATATTGAACAAGTACATTGATTACCGGGTGAAGAAAAACGGCAAGTAAGTCACATTGTTTAAAATCAGTTCTCTTTCATGTAATAATGGCTTTGAAGTTGTAACAGTATAGAAAAGGTAGTGATTATTATGTTTGTAAACTTTTATTTTAATATTATTATTTTTTTATGGGTGAAGGATACCCGAATCAGTTGGAGAAATTGTGAACGGGTTGCTCTGTTACTTTGACAAAGCGTTGCCTTCGATGCTCCTCTACAAACACGAGCGTCCACAGTACAAAGAAGTGATTGCTGATAATGTATCTCCCTCGAGTGTATATGGAGCCGAACATTTATTAAGACTCTTTGGTATGCTGAAATTCTCTATCTACACAATCTTATTTAACTTGTCTTATTAATAATTACAGAGAGACTAATTGTTTTCATATATTCAGTCAAATTACCGGACATGCTCTCCTGTATGCATATCGAAACCGAGACACTAACGGAGCTGCAGCAAAGATTGAACGACTTGCTCAGGTGTAATGATCAATTACGAATTGTTTGATATTATATATACACATATATATATTCTCCGTAAATATAAAACGAAACTTGCTAATCTTGCAATACAGGTTTCTCCAGGTCAACCAAAGTTCATTTTTCAATTCAAATTACCAGAAATCGGAAGGTTTTGTGGGTGCTGTAAAGAAAGAAGAGAAATAGGTAATATGTTTGGACTCTTATTCAGTTATATATGCTGTCTACCAATCATATGCTTACATTTGGACATCATCATCTGTTTGTATAAAAACATCAAAACACTGTGCTGTGGAGATTATTAGTGAACCTTATCCAAAATTGTTACAAGTTGTTAAATGAAGAATATATTCATGTCTTTGAAAACAACTTGTCAATAATTCATAAAACCAGTCAGAAATGGGAATTCCTATAGTAATTTTTTTTACCAATTATTATTTATTTTGAAAATACATATTAGACTCCAATTTAATATTTTTCCTAAAGTTCCATTTTATTAAATTACACTAATAATATAAATATATACCATAGGTGAATGAGAAACAAAATTTTCGCAATTTCTTCTCTTTTCTCGTCTCTTTTTCGGGAAAATAATTGGATTAATTTTAGCTTGATTTTTGTTTCAAAGTGCCAATTTCGAACTAGTTAATGCATGATTCCAAATAAAAAATAAAACAGTTAATTAAGTAATTAACAATCGGTAATCAGTTCATCATCTCTCCGTTGTGTTATAAACTATTTCGACATAAAAATTTATAGCGTTAAGCGCTTCTGTTGCTGCTGCCGGCGGCTCCTCCTCCATCTGTACACAAACAACACTACCCCGAAAATTATTTTTCTACGATCGAAGAGAGAAAAAACAACACCACCATTTCCGAATTTCCTCTGCATTTCCAAGGTTGCATTTTGAAGATCTAAGCCTCTCATTATTCATTAACTGATCAACTCTTGATTGCCATAATGAATTAATTAATCATATCTCATCGATTAATTAATCTTGCTTATCCCCATTCTCTTCACAACAGCATTCCTAATCACCTCACTCTGTACGCACAGCCCGTTTCGATCAACCCCATTCCCCGCCATGTATTCCCTAACCTCCTTCCTCACCATCTCTTGCATCACCGCCAAGAACTCCGCACTGAAGAACTGCTGACTTGGCAGTTGAGCTGCCGGAGGCGGCGGCGGCGGCATGGCGATATGAGCGATTGGCGCCGGTTGGAGCAGCGTGGGCCCGGTTCCTAGAGCTGGTTGCTCCATCCTGAGTTTCTGGTTCGAATCGGGCTCGGGCTTTTGATTTGTATCCGATCCAGGTAAGGAAAGGCTGAGCGAGGTAACGAGGTCCGTCTGTAGCTCAATCGGGCATGTTCTGGCAACGGGCCGGTAAAGATGGTGGTGGGTCGAATCGCTCGTGTCCGACCCGGAAGGAGATATATCCGAGCCCGGCCCGACGCTGGCGGATCTCTTGAGCGGCGGCTGCTGCTGCTGTGCCTCGGGATCGAAGCTGCTGAAATACTCCTCCGACATGGACAAGCACTTGCGCTTTAGGGTTGAGTTCCAGTGATTCTTTATCGCGTTGTCGGTCCGGCCCGACAGAAATCGGGCTATGGTGGCCCACTTGTTCCCGTACTTGAAATGGGCCTCGATGATGGCATCGTCTTCCTGCGGCGTGAACGGGCGGTGCTCCACCTGAGGGGAGAGCTGATTGCACCACCGCAGACGGCATGATTTCCCGGACCTGCCGAGAATCGATTTGCTTATCAAAGACCAGTTTCTCGGCCCGTGCTTCTCCACCAGCCTCTGCAACAAGTCGTCTTCGTCGGGGCTCCACGGCCCCTTGATCCGATCCGCGGCCTCACTCCGTCCTATCTCCGGCGGCGCCATTAGATAATATAATACAAAATACTTTGTGTGATTGCTATATATACAAGTAGGTTTATTATTGAGAGGCGGGGGCTCGGTTTTCAGTTATAAGAAGAAACTAGAGAGAAGAAACAGCTGATATATATACCACTTGGGGAAGAAGATAGAGATGACCGGTTTAGGGGGTGAGGGTGACCGGCTGGAACGGTAACTTTACCCGATTAGGGAACACGCGTCGGCTAATTAGGCAGTAGATGGGACACCTATTACCGGGTATTATTTTATTATGGTGATTAGTGGGTAATTCATGAACTATAACTGACTGGTTTATGGAAGTTGATATAATTTTGGGATTGCGTGATTTGACTAAGCCAGCCTGTAGAGCATTTTTTGGATTTAATTTTTTCTAGAGAGAGAAAAAGCTTGATAGAGATTTCCGGGTTTAGAGAGAGAGGAGGAAGACGACAAAAATGTTTACAACGAACAGAGAGTAGGAAAAAGTAGGAGCAGTGTGGCACAAGCCAGGCTGTCGACCATATATAGGCCGTTGGATTGGATATTAATAAAAAATGAAAATGTATATTATGTGTAGTAGCCAAACATTACCTAAAGTGTTAGGGGGAAAAGAGAAACAAGAAAAGAAGCGTGTTTATAATAAGACAGTGGTGGGTGGGGGCTATTTTTGTCTTTTTAGTTATAAGAACAAACACAGAAAAAACGCATGAGGCGGTTAGCGCTTCTGAGCAGCCGTTACTACTGGTTTACAGCTGGACCTCTCTCTCTCTCTCTCTCTCTCTATACCAAACATGCAGTATCACGTGCCTGCCATCGCCTACTTGTGTCCTTTCCTTGTACCCGCGCACGTGCGCTCCTCACTATCTTTTCGCGTCCGTCACGTGACCACTACTCCTCTCGCACGAGCGTCTCATTTTTTTATTTTTTGAGAAAACACCATTACCTCATATAATGCTTGCAACTTATAAAGATTAATTTTTAATTAATCACTTTTTTATACGAACTACGGCAATTAGTACCTAACAATTTGCACTTTTGAATTGTGTTTTAATTTTTTAAATACAAAAGTAACAATGATTAATGTAGCCAAGAAAAATACAGGCTACAACTTTAGGCAACAAAGTCTAGTGGTTTTAAAAGTTGTACATTAAGTCTTGGTTCAATCTATATATTAATTAGCATTAAACCTCTTGTTTTGTGCAAAGTACAAACTGTACAAGTAAAGCAAGGAATAATTTTCTTATTTATTTAATCTTTTTAATCGGAATTTCAAAACTTTGGCTTTATTACTGAAAGATTCTTCTTGAGGTTTGGGAAGAATGATGATGCTTGGTAAACTCGAATATTTCAGAATTTTTGGAATTACTCACCACCAATTGGAATTATTGCAGCTTCATTTGGAAATTCATTTTGTACTCTCTCAATTATAAATTTACTATGTCACAAAAAGAAATTACAAAGATCAGTAATTGGAGAGCATTCATCACAAAAGCAAGAAATATGAACGATTTAAACGGATTTCGATTGAAATAAATTAAAATATTCGAGATGGAGATATTCGAAGTAACTAAACAATATTTATTAAGCAGAAATTGTCAACATCTTTAATAATGGATAAGAACAAGAGGTGCAATCTTGACCAATAAGTTGCTTCCTCCTTTGCAGAAAATATAAGAAAGAAAAAGAATTGGTTGAAAGTGATGGAGAATCTATAGTTGAACCTAACAATTAATTATAAATGACATGTATCTATCATGCGTGTAGACAATTCGGTACATGTACGATGCAAAAATTATTAGTGTTCGTAAATGTTTTTCACATGATTACAAATACATTTGGTGTATATTGTTACGAATTCAAATGTGAAACGATTCACAATTTCTGAAGTTGGGCAACTGAGCAATAATTTATAATACTAGTACTTCACCTAATGATCCATCGAACCGCAATGTGTATTGAACCTACCATATAAATTTGGCAGCGGATTAAGATTGTTGCCGGAAAAAATGAAAATAACAATTCTAGTGTTTGTACATAAAAATGTCGATTAGTGGACCTTGCTATAGTTGTTAGCTATGATAATAATATTAGTTCAATTAATTAGTTTTGTCATTCTGATTGAACGGTCAATCTTAAACTATAACGTTACTAACATAAATCTAGTCTATCACGGACAAGAAAATGAAATTACACCATCACCTAATTAATTATTTAGTTGGTCCATGATTTGATTCATCTTTACTTTTTTTTTTTCCTTTCTTTTTTTGAGAGAAAAGAAAATCATTTTGGGCAGGCCCAATTAATAAGTTTATTTTTGAGGACCCAAAACAAATTGGGCTTGTTCATTTTAGTAGTTAGTATATGTGTCCACTAATTAATTATTTTCAGTCTCCATCATATTGTGCAATAAATAAATAAAAAATACTATATTTACACCAAAAAAAGATTCAATTATGGAAGTAATTTCATAATCTGAGAAGAGCAGGCAAGACCAGACATACATATAACACTTACATACTGTTTATTAATTAATTAAAACATGGGAGTCTAATTAAGTACCAATTATCCTTCCTTAATTAACAACAAACAAAGCCTGCATAGAATTACTGCTAATTAATAAATTAATCTACTCCCAGATAGCAACTTCCATGAAACCATCTTCAGTAGCACAAGCTCTAAACATCCCAATCGAATTAAACCCATACGCCACCTCACCTTTGCTCGAAACCGCTATCATTCCGGCGAACCCGTGATCCAGCCGCTTCTTTATCACGTAGTCCACCGCCTCCTGCAGCCCCAAACCCATGTACTCCATCACCGCCGCCACGTCACGGGCGAGTGTCCCGCGTATGATGGCCTCCCCTTCGCCGGTGCAAGAAACCCCGCACAGTTCGCCGGCGTAGGTGCCTGCGCCGATCATCGGCGAGTCACCTATCCGTCCGGACATCTTGTTCATCAGTCCGCCGGTGGAGGTGGCGGCGGCGCACCGGCCCTGGCTGTCCACCACCACGCAGCCCACCGTCTCCGGGGCATATATGCTAATCGGGAGTCCGTTCATTTGAAGCGGATTCTCCACGGCGGCACTGCAGGTGGATTCCATGCCGATCGTCGGGATTCTGTAATCAAACTGCATATATATATATATATATATATATATATATATATAGAGAATTTGTTAATAATAATTTAATAAATATTACAAAATTACATAATTATTCGCACTATAATTTTGACTTACGAGACTTGAGTTGGCTTCTTTAGCGAGTTTAAGCATGCCAACGTTGTCCTCGGTGATGAAGTAGTCGTTATCAACCATCTACAAACCCTAATTTAAATTTACTATAATTTA